TAAGTAAAGGGCATGAACTGCGTCAGGTATACCAGCCTCAGCAGCTGGCATCCAACAACCCCCTTGAGATCAACATCTTCAATCTTGGACCATGGGCATAGACTGCATCAGCATACACCCGTCCAGCACCACACACCATCTCATGTGACCTGACAGACTGTTCTCACAGATGGAGCCTACAGTCATGGACTAAGTGAGTTTAATGGACATTTTAAGTGAGTGCAATGGACGTTTTAAGTGAGTTCAACGGACACGTTGGAGGTATGGCCCACAGACTATGGGAACTGTAAGATCTGGGCATGACACAGATGGTATGGAATAAGGGGTGGATAATGTCCTGGTTCCGCCAGGGATGGGGTTAATCTCCCCAGGAGCCGGCAGGGGGCAGGTATTCCATACCACGTGCCCCATGCCCGGGCTATAAGAGGAGCTAGCCTCCCACGTGACCCATGCCCAGGCTATAAGAGGAGCTAGCCGGGGCGAGGAGAGGAGTCGACACTCGGGCTGCGGTGGTGCGGGTCTGGTCGGTGCGCTTTGCTGCGGTACTGTAATCGCGTTTTTGTCTTTTCCTTTTGCTGTTCTGTTAAATTGCACTCTTTTAACCCACGAGTTTGGCCCTGTCATTTTCTTTTTCCACGACTGTGGGAGTTGTGCGAGCGGCTGTTCTTTGTTGCTGGCTGAGGCCAAACCACAACAGATCCCTACAGTGCAAGTGATCTCCATATGGTCACCATTTGATACAGCCCCTTGATCCAGGACGGTTCAGATGATTCTGAAGGCCAGTGGTAGGCAGGAAACCAGAAACTACCCCCCAGGGGTCCCTGTCCCTCCCAGCCTTGTCCTTAGCACTGATGTCCCCCTGTAACCTCTTCCCAAGGAATCTGTGGACGCTCACTGGTGTGCTGCCCTGCCTGAGCAGCCAGCACCCTGTAGTGAGATGGATGGATGGATGGATGGAGAGGGTCTGCGAGGCCCTGGTCTGAGATAGTTGCCATCCACAAATGTACATCCTGGTCCCATATCATCCTGGATGCATGTCTGGCTCCCATGTGTTGCCCCAGATACGTTTTTGTCCTTCCTCACCCTTGACACATGTATTATTCCACATTCCCCACATGGACACACGCCTTATCCTACCTCACCCCAGAAACCCCTATAGGTCCAGCTCTGTGCCCAGTTGAGGCCACAACATGGATCCTTGCTGGCCCCATACCTCACCAGGCCCTCTGTCCCTGGCTGCCCCTGGGCTCAGGCACTCCGCAGGACAGGGACAGCCCATGTCCTTCGTTCCCCAGTGCCTATGTCCCAGGAGATGCCTTTCTCAGTGTCCTCCAGGTCCTCATATCCTCCCGCTCCCTCTGTCCCGACACAGTTCTTGTGATGGGGGATGTCCTTGGCTGCCTGTCTATGGGGACATGCCACATAGGAGCTATGAGGTCCACCAGGCAGGGACATTCCTCTACGAGGTGGCCTTTTTGAAGGACTCAGGCGGGCTCACGGTCACCCAGAGTCTCCTTTTGACCAGGGGCATGGGGAGTTGGAAGACACCTGCTAAGCCTTCCCTCTCATCAATCCCACCACAGCCCTTCAACCCATGGCCATGTCTCCCCCACCCCACACCAATCCCATCCCACAGACATATCCCAAAGTCCCCACCACCACCACCCCATAGCTGTGTCCCACATGTACGCACCACCCGATATACATGCTCCACATCCTTGCTACCCCATTTCCATGTCTCCATGTCCTCCTCATTCCACTGCCCTGTCCTCCATGCCTCCTCCCTCCCCCCCATATAGCCACGTCCCAGTGGCTCCCTGATCCACAGCAGTTCCACCCCACAGCTATGTTTCCATGTACCCACATGCCACAGTGATGTGCCCCTGCTCATGGTGATCCCACCCCATGGCTATGTCCCATGTAACTCCCATCATCCCATAGCTGTATACCCATGGCTCCCACCCCATTGCTGTGGCCCCATGGCCACCTGCACCATAGCCATATCCCACAGAATCACAGAATCCCAGACTGGTGAGGGCTGGAAGGGGCCTCTGGAGCTCCCCCAGTGCCACCGCCTGCCAGAGCAGGGGCACCTCCAGCAGTGGCACAGGACGGTGTCCAGGCGGGTTTGGGATGGCTCCAGAGGGGGAGACTCCCCCACCTCTCTG